TTTTTAAAGTTGAAGGATAGATTTGGATCAAAATGAAAGTTGAGGGACCAAATTCGATAGTTAACCTTGTATTTAAATCCTGAGGGGCACTCGTTTCGCAGGTTTCTGTGAGGAAAAATGGGTCGGCTTCGATTTGTCAGAGCTCTTCTTGTTTCGGTACTTCTGGTCTTCTCTTTCTCTCAAGGTATTTCGTTCTTTTCTTTTCTTTTTTTTTGACTTGATTTGTAAGAGTTTCTTTGTTTTGTATCTGATTCTGATTCTTGGACTTTTGTTGTCTTTTGAATTTTAAGGATTTGGTCGGAAGGCAATGGAGACTGATGTTGAATATGAACAGGTGACTGCTCAAATCGAGGTTGGTCTTGTTTTTCTTTTCTGTTTCCCCCTTTTTCGGTCATTTACAATTTATCGTTTGAGAATAATGTGTTTGGTTTGCAGGAAGTTCCAGGAGTATTACCAAGGGAGATGACTGAATTGATGGATTATTCAGAAACAGGACCAAACACGAACCCCAGAACCGGGTATATATTTACTCCTCCCCCGCAAGGCTAATTGAGATATGTTACCAATCCAAACTCAAAATAAGATGTTCTTATTATGTTCCTTTAATTGCTTAACTCTCTTCTATTAATTTAATTTCCTTTTAAGTTAGACAGGTTGGAGGATATATAAGACTTGAGTATATATGTTGATTGGTGTTCTTAGTTTGCTTGGTTAGCTGTAATTTGTGAATTATAAGATGTTGGATGTTGTCTGATTTGGATTTACTCTTCAAATTCAAAGCTTAATCTTCCTAGTTTCCTTTTATAGATTTTTGAGTTCATGGATCCCCTTCTCTTGTTTAAAAGTTGAAATTAGAGAATTCTAATTTACAATGTCATTTTTAAATATTTATATTGATTTATTTGAAGTGATTTTATTATTACTATAAACAACTTTCACATACTTATATCAAGTGTTTAATTTGTGCTGCTCTGTCCACCTCCCTCTCCTCACATAATTAAACTACTTTTTCAGGTGAAAAAAGAAAAAAAAAAACAACAAGGGTTTTCACTTTTTTTTTTTTAATGAGATTGAATAGTTGAAAGAATAAATGAAAAGGACTTTAAAGTCTAAATTATGAAGTACTAAAAATAAGGATTAAAATGAGATGTTCCTTCCACATATACTTGTCATGTAGCCATCTATATGGCACAAGTGCACAACATCTGCACAACATCTATATGGCCCCAAACACAACCATTATACCATGATATGTGGAGTGCTGATTTTTATATGAGATGGTCACATGTCACCCATGATATGCTTCAATGTGGTTGGAATACATT